ACATTTAGTGTTTAAAGTTAGTCTAGTTTAATTTGTTTAGTAATAAAATTCTTAAACTTTTAAACTAGACTCTCTTCTGTTGTCTCTGAGTGAATACGAAGCTGTTATCCAATCCCTGCATTAAAAAGTTCCAATCATTTGGTTTAAAATAACCTCACAGATCCGTAAGGTGGATTTCATATTTCCTATGGAATCCCACGCCTTATGGCTTATTAAATAACATGTAATTTAAATCATTACATCAATAAATTTTAAAATTAAGTATAAAACCACATCATCTCTGTACTACAATATCTGACAGATCCAGCTGCCATTAAGCCTTTCTTCATTTTCTTTATTAAGACATCATTTGCAGATATGAAATTTGTGCCCAGTTGCTTCTGCGTGGGTGTTTGAAACAAGTGTGCGTGGCGAACGTGGCGGTCGTAATAGATCAAGTGCGTACAACCCCAATGGTGTTTGCTTTAAATGAGAGACTGTCCTCACATCCCATTATCGGGCCGAGCTGAGAGAGACTGCAGGCCCTGCAGGAGAAATATTTCACAATTATGGACTTTTGTGCTTTTTCTACTACATGACCCTCACTGGACTGGAGAGAGTGCTTTATCTTTTTTATTGCCAATTATAGGTGTCCAAAAGTGCATTGAGCTGAAATGAAAGAAGAATCTGAGCTGAATTGTGTGAGACTTGCAGACGGAGAGACAGGCAGGGAGATATAATGCAGCTGAGGATGGGCATGCTGGATGTTTAGACGTTTACCAACTGGTGAGATGTCTAATCAGAGCTCAATTTACTACGATAACAACATGAGTCTAGCAGCAGATGGTTTGATCCCTACAGATCTCCTCATCACAGAGTCAGTGTGGGTTAAACGAGGAACTAAATGGCAGAATAAATCTACTTGTCTTCAATTCTTAAAATAAATACAGAATTATGCTGAAGTGAAGTGGTTTTGCATGAAAATTTGTGTGCAATGAATAATTTATGGGTAGACTGATATATAATAATAATAATTAAAAGTTTGAGGCTTTTGCGGGCATTCCCTTTTCCTGCTTTGCTTTTAGAGGCTAAATCCTTTGCACAGAACCGAAAGCACAGCTCCAGCTGGAGGGAAAGAAAAGCAGGATGCTGTGTTTACACGTACAGAGCACAGCGAGGACGATGTGGGCTCAGATGGAGGCCAAAAAGCCAATAAGTATCAGGAGAGTCGTCTGACTCCTCAGACACTCAATACGCCGCTTCAGTCCCCGGGAGCCTGATTAGGCCCAAAACAGTCCACGGCATGGTAGCTGTCAATTAATCCTCTGACTCCAAGTGCTGAGCAGAACCGTTTGACCGGAATTTAGTTTTAACTATTCCCACACGATAACAAGCAGTGAAAGATAAGTCCAGTGGATTTTCCGCCTGTTCCACGCTGTTAAAAAACACAAACACAAGTGGGATCGGGCCGTTTACTCAAGAGACAGCAACATTTTGACATTCCGATTTTGATTTAAAGCTCTTTTGGCTCACAACTGATCTAAAAATGACTTAAAAAGTAAATAACTCAGGATTAAAACTACTCACGATTTCCTGCATGTGCGTAGCAAGGCAAAGCACATTTCATACACGGAGGCAATTCTGTGTGCTCTCCATTCGCTAAAATAGCACGAACATTAAAATCAACGAGACAGCATAATTAAAATACACAAATAAATTGAAATCAAATTAAAAACACAAATACATTTCAGATTCAAGAATTAGGAAAAAAAGACTAAGATAAAGGGTGAGCAGTTACAGTGCAGAAGGTGCAGCATATGAAACAATCATTCAAAGGCTGATGAATACATGAAAGTTTTTAATTTTGATTTAAAATGTACTAGAGTTGGGGCACATTTGAAGGAAGCTGATTCCATCTGTGTCAGCATAGTGGCTAAAAGCAGCTTTACCCTGTTTGGTTCTGACCGGTTCTGACCCGGGGTTCTACCAGCTGACTGCTTCCTAAGGATCTCAGAGATCTGCTGGGCGTACATACAGGAAACAGGTCCAACATGTGTTTTGGCCTCATGCCGCTGAGTGATTTATAAACTAGTGGAAGCACTTTCAAATCCATTCTGTGGTTTACTGGTAACCCGTGTAGAGATTTGAGAACAGGAGTGATGTGCTCGGTTCTCCTGGTTCTTGTTGAGACTCCAGCAGCATTCTGAAAAAGCTGC